CATCCCAAACTCTACAAATCTCCTTTCTAAACTATTTGTTTATCAATAAAGCAAAATTTTGGGATCTTTGTATTATCATTATTATTAGTTTCTCGATATTAATCGCCTTCCGTATAATGCCAAATGATTGAACTGTGTGATGAGCACAACTAGATCCGGCAAAGTGCGCAAATTTTTTTTAATTAGTTGTGCGCCAGGTAAGTACCACAGTTATTTGTGCACTGTTAATTAAAACAAAACAACAAAACATACTCCTAAGATTTCCGCATTAAACTCTTAATTCAAAATTAGAGAAGGATCTCTTATAAATTGGGTTCTGAAACCTTTTAGATTCCGTATAGTGCAAAGTAATCAAAGATCAAATAACACAGGCGAGACATTCATGCGGTAGTCCTATTATTTGCGTCATGGTTATCTGCACAACAGCTTTGGCAGTCATATTTAGGATAACAGGAACACACTAGCTTAGTTGCTATCGTTTTATGTCACTAATGAACGTTCGACGTGCTTGGACAAGAGATCGCACTAAATCATCAGGGTCCACTTAAAATGGTATTTGGTTAGATATATTGAAAGTTTAAAATTCGATCCGGGGTTTGGAATAAAAAAAGGTTGAATTGATGTACTTTTTCCTTTCTCATCGCGAGCTAAAAACCCGTTAGTATTGATGAATTTCGATAGCTGATTATCGAAATAAGCTGAGGGGTTAAAGTGACGTGCACTCACAGAAAAATAATTAAAACAACCCTTAAAATTAAACAATTTTTACGTATTAAAATTCAGCAATGGAACTCCTTACGTCCACATGGAGATTCTTTATTGATTTCAGCTTAATTAAAAGATTCTGTCTTCGGCTTTTAATAAAGTCCTCTTATTAGTCATGTTTAATGGATCACCCTGAAATTCTACGAGCATCACGGGCGATGATGTTACGTTAACGCCTCGTGTTCCACATCCCAAGGTCATGTATAATGAATTCCAACCTAAATCTATACTGAGAGCCTTCCATGAGGCGTCAATCAGATATCGCAGTACCCAAACAGTTAGCGCTCTCAAATTATTGTTCAGTTATCAACACTCAAATTAGTTGACTGCTGACTGCTCGCCAAGTTGGACATCATGGACAATTAAAACATATGTTTCTTTTAAACTATTCTTCTTTGTACCCGAAAGCAAACTTTATACTGATCTCAATGCCCTTCTTTTACAAAAATAAATATATGTGGGTTCTGGAGGTACCGCAGGTTCCGCGTTCTGCTGATCCATTGTTTCGAAACGCCCAAGAAAATGAAAGGTCCCCTCAAAATTTTGGAGACCAACCCCTCAAGATTCAAATTGTGCAGGAGTTTTATTTGAGCGGTCAGACTTAGTACCTGGTTAATTCGCTGAAAGAAAAATCGTCCGTTTCGAATTGTTGCGAGCTTAGACGAAACATCATCTTTTTTTCTGGATAGCACATTCTACATCCTTTTCATTGTTTTATAGTTTGGTCGCACTCCGAATAACCCGTTTAAAAATTTTGTCCGAAGGACATTCGCGAAGGTCTACCTTATCCTTAAAAAATGTTTCCCACATCATGGTAACAAGTTTCGTTGAGCTGGTTGGTAAATTGCAGAGATGCCGCACTTTTTTTTTTATTTCTCCGTCTGCTCCCTATAGAAGGGAATAAAAGTTATTGGAAAGATGTTTAAGGGCATTTAGCAAGTAAAATGCATCAGCATTAATCTAATCTAACGAAATGCGATAAACTTTTTTCATTGTTTCAAATGTTATTCGTGAGATAACAATCAATTCATTTGCTCATTTTCTATTCCACAGTCATCCTTCATTTGTTGATGGAATTGCCACGAACAGGTGAGTCAGTGTATTTCCAATTTTAACACTGATGTACCTTAAAATGAACAACAAAAAAAGATAAATATCTGACTGTTTATCACAATAATCAGACATAGGCTTCCTGTTAGATATACATCGGATTTCGATTCAAAACGTTGGTTGGAAAGCAAAACAAAAAAGTCGTAGAATAACTGTGCTGCTACCTTGATCTTCCCAATTACAACAATTTCACAATTTTTATCATCAGTATACATTTATTCTTTTATTTATTTATAATGGTAATTGAACTGAGTGGAGTGCAATTTGGGCTGAATCATACGCGTGATTTCAAAATCGAACAAGCGTGCAGCGCGAGTTCGATTTGAAATCGCATGTATGATTTGCACGACGCGAGGTTCAATTACCACTTTATTATATCCATTTTGAAATCGCCCAAATACAGGACTCTGTCAGTTTAAATACATTATTGATGCAGTACTGAGCCAATTTCAAATTAAATTCATCCATTTTTGGGGGGGGAATAAGAGTTTTGGAAACAAAAGTTGCAAACGAAATTAAGAGATCCTCGCAGCTAAGAACACTACTGAAACGAGTAGTTGAAAATAGGACCTTCCAACTGAGCTAACAAGCCAACTGGGAGCTGGTCAATGTGTTGGGTCCAAATAAATCATCCAAGTGATGAATGATGATTTTAGATATATGAAATTCATATATTTGCACTGCGGTGAAGAAACGAAATTAAGAGATCCTAGCAGCGCAGTGCAAATATATGAATTTCATATATCTAAATCATCATTCATCACTTGGATGGTTTATTTGGACCCAACATTGACCAGCTCCCAGTTGGCTTGTTAGCTTCGAGCGCTGCACCGGTATCGCTGAGGTTATGGATTCAAATCCCGTACAGGCCTGAAATTTTTCAGGTCCTATTTTCAACTACTCGTTTCAGTAGTGTTCTTAGCTGCGAGGATCTCTTAATTTCGTTTCTTCACCGCAGTGCAAATATAAAAATTTTATATATCTAAAATAATCAAAAGTGGCAAAATTTGCCACATCATACTCTTTGTCTTCATTTTCCTGCAATGTGATTGGTTACTTTAAACAAGCCTTGAAATCTGATAGTTTGTTTTGTTTTTAGTGAAGCCTCGTCATTGGCTGGGAAAAAGCTGCGATTTATAGCGAAAAATGATGCGATTCGTGAATAAATCGCACCAATTAGAGCCAATCAGATTACAGGGACCACCAGTGGTTTCAAAATGGGTGTAATTTTTTTTTCCTCATAGAGTGCCAAGCAACCTGTTTCAAAAACTCCTCTTACATATTTTCGAAAAGCGGAGGATATTGGTGGGACAACATGGATGTCTGCTTCAGTCAGGGAGGTGACCTGGTATCCATCGAAACTGAAGAAGAATGGCAGTTTATCAGAAATGAGATTCAACAGCGTGGTACTGGGAATAGTAGTGCGTGGCACATTGGTTTAAAGAAGAATGGTTGGGTTTGGACTTGGGTGAGTGGTTTATGGAAGAGAGACGGGGTTTGGATATGGAATAGTGGAGAACAAATGAATATTTCGAAATGGCGAGATTCTGAGCCAGATGGTAACGACACATGGGCGGAAATATCCAAGAATGGAGGCCTCTTTAATGGTATCTCTCGGGGTGATGAAAAAAATGCCTACATTTGCGAGATGCCCGGAGGTAAGATCACATTCCAACCATAAAGTACATTATGTGCTGAAACATTACAGTCTTGCACTTGTGTCATGAAAATTGCTCTTGCTTCTTAGAATTAAAATATTGTTCACAGAATATACTAAGCTTACCTAACTTGTACGTGTGAGCGATGAATGAACTTTTAAACGCGTGTTAGTTGTTGGACATAATGCCCATGAAAGTTTCCGGGACACATGTTTCCAAAAAAATGATCATTCTCATTTTTACATCGCCTGCCGCTGACAAGACAGCGATCGAAATTGTACATTTCGTAACTTTTGACGAGTGCCCTACGATTGGGATAATTTAGCCAACGGAATTTTACGTTGCCACAAGTTACCAGGCGTGTTCACTGAGGTCAGTGAGTATATGCATGTTGTTTTCAAAATAAAAATCGAAGTATTTTTACTTTTTAGTGCGTGGGTGGGTGGTGGGGGTGTGTGTTTGTGTGTTTCTTGTACGAGTCAGAGATAAATATGTTATTCACTGGGTAAGACTGTGACCAAGGTCTTGAGCATCGGTACCTAAGACAGAGTGCACAGTTTTTCCCAATACGGATAGAACTAGGCTAGTGAATAACAGTTTGTTTTTCCTTAAACTCAACGAAATGTTTTCAAAAAGAACCTGGTGATTTAGCGCTATAATTCCGGTAAGATCCTCCATGAACTGAACAATTTTTGACCGAGTAAATAGTATTTGAAACAGAATGAGTTAATAATATAGATTTAAGAGAGGCCTCACCTAATTATTTTCAGTTGTGTATTAAAAGAGATGAGTTAAAACGCATCCAAACAAACTTTGAAACATTTTTTACCAGTATCTGTCACATTCTGACACCTGTCAATAAGAGATTGCGTAGAAAAGAAAATGCATGCTCGCTTTAAAACAACAACAACAATAACCACGGTGCTAGTTTGGCATATAAACCTGAGTGGAGAGTTATTGCAAATAAATTTAAATCTTTGTTTTGAATTTGAGGGAATTTACTCTTTTGTTTGGCACAATCGCATGTGTAACTGTGCTCTTTCTCCAAAAGGAGAATTTTAATGCAGCTTTTAGTGTTGAATTCCTTCGTTTTCTGTTGTGAAATTTACAGTACCAGTGTCCAACTTGAGCAGAGTTGCAAAGACTTACAGAAAGCGTATTTGAAGTACAGAAGATTTCGTTCACTGTTCTTCAAGGAACAAATTGTTTGAGAGAGTTCAGAGTCCATTTTTTATGCACGTCGCTTTTCAGGATGTTCTCTGTTTACAAATGTGGCAGACATTGATTTTTATTCCAGATAAAGGAGTATGTTTCAAAATTTGGCGGAATTAATATTACCAGAAGGAATTCCGTACAGGTATGTAGTTTACAACTTAGAAGTTTATAACTTAAAGGCTTTAAGCCACATGGGGTGAAAACGTTGAGGCCAAAAAACTAATTCAGGCGCATGAAAGAGTACTTTAGCCAATAAATATCGTGGAAATCATTTGGGGCCTCCTGCTAGACTTTTTCCGCATTCTTAACATGAATTGTACATATGAGACTGGCTGTTTAATGACCTGGAAAAATTTTATGCAATTGTAGGAGGCAGTAGCTGTGTTTGAAGACTTCACTATAAAAATCAAGAACGTCACAAAAGACAAGGCCGGCACAGAAGAGGTTAAAACACTTAGAATGTCCATCTTGGAGGTGGCAGAGGCCGTCGAAAAATTTGCTCTTAATTATGGCAAGCGACACTTGAGTGGAAAGAGGTCTTTGGAAAGGATCGTTTTCCCAAAAATAGGTGAGTTTGTGGCCTTCAATCCTGATTAGTTTCGAAGTCTATTCCTCTGTTACTTACCGACTTGCTGACTGACCTACTGAATTGTCTAATTTACTACAGCTAGATGATGTAAGAACTCATTTATAAGCCCAATTTTTTAGATACTTTGATTATTCGCGGTGTAGAAGGAAATTCAACGTATTCTTGAACAGTTAACAACACGAAATAATCGGAATCCTTCAAATTGTGAAATCCCTCTTCTGGCTCTGTTTATTGAAACTTTTCTTAGATGATAAATTTATGAGTAACACTTTACTATCTAAAAGTGTCAAATCTTACAAATACTTTCCGGTTGCATCACTTAATACACTGAGCTCAAAATTGGCCTATCGTCTGCGATGCACATAAATGCAAGATTCTTAACCGTACTCATAGAAACTCCCCAATGAACTCTATAGTTCTTCGACGAAACGGTTCGAGGAACCAATTGAGTTTTCACTATTTTAGTCCGTACAGTATTACTCACTTTTTCATCAGTTTTACCCTAAAAAAACCTTGTAAAATGGTTGAAATCGTCGAATAGTCGTTGAAGGGCAAATAAGGTACAAACAATACAGGTCCATCTAATAAGATTATGAAATATTTGTGTATACCGCAAAACGCACGTTTGTGTAGATGTGTTATTGTAAATTTCACCGTAACTGCTTTCATTTGTCCTTTTTTTTTTCCCCGACAGTTTTGGTCATTCAAAAAGCCTATCGCAAGAATGCAAGTGGCTTCCACTTTGAGGAACAACAATGGCGAGCGAGAATCGATATCCCTTCTTCAAATTTTGAGGAAAATGGTTCGTATCAACTATTGTGGTAACTTCACAACTTTTAGTATTACCTTGGTTTCTCCAATAGAAATTTCTGTATTGAAACAAAGCCTCATACGAAGGCGCTTTCTTAGTTTACATAGTCTATCTTCTTTAATCATTCGCCTGCTAAAAATTCACATACCTCAGAGCCTGATAAAACTTTCAATTTTGTGTCTTTTGTTTGATAACTTTTTTTGTTGATTCTTGGGGGTTTTAAAGGATCAATGGTGGTTGCGTGTGTGTACAAGGATCTACATGACCTACTCCTGACAGATCAAGTCATAAGGAGTGAAACAGACCACCAAAGGTGCCGTTATTTTCGTCTTACTCCATGTCGTTTATCCCCAAAAACACATAACACGGAAACACATAAGATCTAAGTTTAACTAAACTGAACTGAGAAACTTTCCAAAAACCCTAATTAAGGTTGGAAGCTTCCCTGTTTGTCTCTGACCATTTCACCTTCATGAAAAATTGGCTTGAATCTACCAAAAGTATGTAATATTGCTTCCTCGATTCTGGTCCATTTTCAAATACAATTTCTTCATAGGTATATCAACTCCAGGATAATGGCCGTAACTATGGACCCCAAGCCAGAGAAATTAGAAGAAAATGTCATCCTAAAGTTCAAAAACCTAAAGGTAACGTGAAAATTAGTTGCTGTGTGTTGTTTTGATTTATTCTGACAAGATAAAACGCATTTTCAGGTCTTGACAGCAGAGAAGCGCTGTATGTTTTGGAGTGGCCTCAGCAAAAGGTAAAAATACTACAATATATTATTGTATAGTATTTATTCCTTCTAAAATTAAATCAATTATGGAGGAGAATGAATGAACTTTCGTGCAGATTAACACTTTCCTAGAAAGCAACATGTTGTTTTTTTTAGAGAGAGGAAGTCTGATTGAAATGTCCTCGCAACTAAGAAAATCTTAGCGCAAAATTGTCAAACATCACCTCTTCCCCAAACAATGAATAATTTTGTGCCCTTTGTTAACTTTACATTTTTTTTATGTCTGACAGCTTTTCAGAGGAAGGATGCCATGTAGTTGCATCAAAAAGCAACTCAGAAGAAACAGTTTGCAGTTGCAATCATTTGACGCATTTTGCCGTCTTAATGGACTACGCTGGTAGCACAAAGGTAATAAAGTTAGTTTTGTCTTACTCAATAGTTTTATGGGCTCAGTGAACTAACTAAATGTTGTCCTTCAATTTTTCTTTTTTCAACACAGCTCACCGAGGAGGACGAAACAATTCTGAAAATTATCACCTACGTGGGACTGAGCCTTTCCATCGTCGGGATACTTTTAACATTAATACTTTATTCTTGTCTCACGTAAGTAATGTAC